TAGCTTAACCATCGATTCAGACAAAAGCTTTCGACAGACTAGAGGACGTCGAGAGCTCATGAAAAGAGGAAAACTGGCTGCACACAAAGCGTAGATCTTTCGTTAAGCACATCTACAGCGAAAGTGGTGGGCTGTTCTTACATGCTCGTGAGAGGAACGATGGGAGCACGAGTGCTGCTTGCTTTCGTGCCGAGGACACGATGGCACCGGGACCTGGGTGCCAACGAGGCAGCTGATCGCGGTTAGGAAAATTAAGTGCAGTCAAACTATGTTTAGGTGACTGTTTACACACGTGGACACGTGAAGAACTCAGTGGCGTAGCAGCTGCCGAGAAGAAGCAAAGTCAGAAGCGGCCAGTAACTGGAACTGGTGCAGAGATTTCCCAAATAGCTAATGAGTTCGAGTTGTCGTGAACTGACGTGTTTCTTACCAGTAAAATCGAGAATTTGACAAACAAACGACGACGTACATCTTACACCATACTTGTCTGAAGATTGCTCGAGTCACATTACATCACACCAAGTCGACGCAGACATGAAGACATAGGATGAAGAACTACTTTCGAGGCGGGGAGGCGGTTCTGTGTATGTGGCTAGCGACTGGCTGTGTTCTTATTTCTGGCTAAATGTATCTCACTTTTGGAAGTTTCTGGAGCGAGAATCTGGGCAGAGTGGAAAAAGCTGTTGTAGGATGTCCCAATCATATGTTATAGTTGATCTGAATGTACCTTCGGCTGAAGGAAACCTCATCATCAAACAAGGAGGATGGGACCGACCCCCCGTAAGAAATGAGATTTTCATCACGGCAGATTTCTCCTCCCTCCAATTTACAAAAGTTAGTTATCTTGTACCCCGCGTTTATTCCTATAATATTTCCAACATCCACCTTCCGCTCATTTGCTAGAGAAGCAAATGACTTTTTTTTTCCGGTTCTCCAAGATAGATAGTCGCCTCGGTCAAGGATGATTTGTCATGATAGCTTGGCACTTTGGCCTTTGTTTTCCCTCAATTTACTCATCTTCGGACGTGTTTTGGGATCCCGTTCAGCCGGTCTCAATTCTCTAGATTAAGACGATCTCTAGACGATCGGAATATCCATCTTTCCAAATTGTGGTAGCATGGCTGTGGAATTTAGGGACTCGGAGCAATGCCGGCAACGATGATCTTTCGTCCAACGGTGGACAGTCAGAGCACTTGAGCCTGTCCAGATCATGGTTGGCGATGTCCGTTGTCTTCCGGCTGATAAAAGCGCTAATCGTCATGTCGCATGGCGAAGGAGAAGCTATCATTAGTAGAGGAATCATAAAAAATTGAGAAAACTCAGAGTCGTAAAGTGCTGTGGTGTGTATTGTACAGTTATGACGTCTCTCCACCTGATGGTTCAGATATTTAGAGTAACCTATACTTAAAAAGAATAGATACACCTGCGCGCTAAGGGTAGGATTAACAAGAGAACTGGGGCTCAGAAGGAGTAATAGAGAGAGGAGGGCGGCAGCAGCAGCTGCCGCTCCTGCTGCTGCAGTGGACATTGTCTTCGATAGTCGAGGGACTGGAGGCTTCAGCGTGTGTCTGAAAGAGTGCTGGCCCGTTCTGTGCTTCGAAGGAAATCATTTTAAGAACTTGTTGTGAATTTGTATCAGCTACCTTTCATCAGGTCACTACGTCCCAAATTCCGATGAACTCTGGACCCTCCAATGACCTCTGAGCCCTGCGCATACTATCATGTTTGGAACATGGTATGGAGTTTGTCTCAACTACCTTCCACTTTATGCCAATCATGAATAATTTTGCAGGCTGCCATACCCTTACACTGAAGTCATCAAATGAACCATGAACTCATTTGACCATTACCGAATATTTAACTTGAATCCGGATAAGATTTGGTGTTGAACTCCCGAGCAAACCAAACGTCGTCATCATCATGACTTCTGACCAGCAAAATTCTTCGCTAGTATCTTTTCCACATGACTTTAGTATCTATCAGCCCACAAATGCAAGAATTTGGATGTCTAGCCTGAAAGCCCTGAACATGCCGTTTGCTTGCAGTTGACTTGGTCGGACTCAAGCATTAATGCTAATAACGGAAAAAGTAAGTGGAGAAAAGAACATCAAAAGTTACCACCGCCCTCCAAATGCAAATTTAATCATTGAAATTGCTCCAGATGGAGATTCAGAGGGACCGAAAATTCACCTGAGTTTGAAGGTCACGAGAAAAAAGGGCTCTCTCGTCAGGTGGGAAGACGGGGTCTACATTGGTCAGACAGAGATCGCTGGAAAATGGCGAGAGATCGACATCGCAGATCCCGATGACAAAGATTCCAGGAAATATATTCTAAAGATTCTACACGAGTCCAGTTTCAGGCACCGTCGCTCCTCGGTCAGTCCCGGCGGGGTTTGTATTTATTTAACCCCGCCCATTTGACGACTCACCTGCTATTGCCAGTTTTTGTCACCTGACCTCGCAGGCATCGTCTCGCATACTGTCCTCGTCTGTCGCCAGTGTGGTTTCCATGCGGACCGGTCACTCTCACGTAGCCTTCCGCCTAAGCGCCTAATCGCTGCTGTACAACCACAACTTTCCGGCTGGCTCGCCCTCGAAGTTCGAGCCGTCCGGTCATCCGTTCGTCCGTCCGTCCGGCCGGCTTGACTGGAGCGAGACATTGTAGGCGCGAGGGAGGAGGGAGCACGATGCGCCGGACGGGTCCGCCGAAGCTTCCCATCCGTCCGTCTGGGTTGCTCCTTCAGCCGGAGAGTAGAGTATCGTATTCAGGAGGAATACGGAACTCCTCAAAGTTGTAACTACACTACGCCTCGAGTTAATGCAGGAGCAAAAAATGTGAGTCTCTCCATCGATAGGATACCCAATCGGCCAGGATCTCATTTTTCTATCTCATTCGGTCTCAGATGATTTATGAAATGCTTCAGGAACCGAACTAGCAAATTCAGTCCTCGACTAAACTCGGGCTAAACTCGTAGTCGTCAAGAAAGAGGGTAACACTATCCCAGAAAGGGATCCACGGAACTGACCTGAATAAAAGATCGTGCAGGAAGAGAAATTCGAAGCATGAATCTTCAGCAGATGTTTGCAATCTCCAGCCAAGACGAAGATTTACGAACACAACTTTCTGGAGACGAATACTGTAAGGAGGTACGCTGAAGTGTGTCAGATGCACCGGTGGTGGTAGGTCACCACCGGGATGGTAACTGGAAGGTGTCCTCGCGTCGCTCTCCTTAGCTTGGGTCACAGACTTCGATGCTTGCTAACTCGACCTCGACCCATGCAAAGCAGGAATTGACGATCCGGTGCAAAATCAGATTTCTTCGAGTCTAGAGTCGACTGTTTAGAATCAAGGAGTAACTTTTCGTCGCACAAGATGGAATGTTTTTTCGTCTCTGTCATGCGTATGCGTCGCATCAGTCCACCATCAATAAAGTGATGCTTCCCTCGATCGTATGATTCCTATACGCAGTACATCACAGCAGTGGTACCAGAAACAAAAATACAACAGAGAGCTCGCAACATACAAAACTGGAGAATCGGCGAGACTAGACGCATAGAACCTGGAGAGGACGTTCATATTGGATATAATTGCGTGGGATAACGGATGAGTATGATTCTGATCAGTGACGAACTGAGCTGGTGTATCACCGAAAGTACTAACCGAAGATACCCTCGAAGTCCTCGAGGTTCGCCTCTCCCGCAACTTGGACGTGCAATGGAGGACCTGCCTCTCGCCGTGGAAGTGTAAGGAACATCGCAAAGGCATAGATTTGAATCCTCGACCAAGGTCAGAGGGTACTTCAAACTTGTCGGTGTTCTCGACATGGCCATGGCAGCCCGTCCTCGGGACTTGGCTTGAAGCCAGATTCCAAAACCATCCCTGAAGACGAAGAGTGCATGGCTCGCGGACCGGGTTCTTAAATCCACGACAGAGCCCAAACTCACTTCAAGCACATGCCCGCCATTGAAAAACTCCCAGACCGTTTTCTTATCCAGGAATTTGTTTTACATCTGTAATGGTTTAAGCTAATGGACGACGGTCTAATGGTTACGAGACAGTCCTTTATTCTGCATACCTTTAGCAGCTTAGACGGTGGAAAAAGTGAGAGTCTCACAAATATATGGTATGGCTCATGCAGACTTCAGAAGAATATTGGAGAACACATATTGTTATTGACAGTCAAATAAATGCTGAAAATATAGCTTTTGAATTCTCGTGACTCATATCCAGAAATTCGAGAAGTGGAGGAAAATCCTTGATTTGTTCCTTGAGTCCCAAGTGGCTACTTTACCGTCTACTTTATTAGACTCATCGGTCCGTCGTCTCCTTTCGCTACCATCATTCCAGGGCCGTCATTCAACATGGTCCAAATTGGCATCACATCTTGTGCGTAACCAGAAGTAGATGTGACTGTTAATCCGGAGAGATTGTTCACTGCATTATGGTCAAACCTCGGGCTCGTAGAAAGTGAACTCGTCTCTTCTCGGAGGCTCATAAAATAGTCCTCCCAGCTCATGTACTAAAGCTGGCGTACGGTACGTTCGTTCGTCGGATATCCGCAGTTCATGTACAAGGTTACAGTGATTGTTCCTACCCATCCTGAAGCGTCAGACGATGTGAGCATGCCATGCGGGTACGTGAGTGATCTCCTATCAGAGGAGGGCTCGTTTGAGTGCCCCGATATAGTAGCAAACAGCCAGACAGCCGAAAGCATCTGGATCTCGGGGTAATGCGACTGGCGGCACTTACCTCGGTAACTTGCTGGCAAGGAAGACATTGTGGAACGTGTCTTGTAAGGATTGGCTGGATCGGGAGTAGCAGATGGGTTGTATCCTACTTGGGGACATTCCGTCAGGAATGGCCTAATGGCGTGGCCAGGCGTGAACACTTTCAGCCGAACGGTAGTCGCAGACGCACCTCTCAGTAGTGGAAAAGGAGAATCGTGCTTCTCTTGAAGAGAGAGAGAGACAGAGAGAGGGAGGGGGAGAGAGAGTCTGAGTCTCTGAGCCCCGTGGGCAGGAGCTGCATCCCATCTATAAGAAGTAGATGAGTAGGGGGTTCTATTGCATTGTCATCCCAGCTTCTTTCCTTCCTTCCTTCCTTCCTTCCTTTCTTCGATCCTGCCATCAACCGTTTGTATCCTGGTATCTGAATTAATCTAGCACTCAGCTCCTCTGAAGTTCCTGAGCCTCTTTCAACTCGTTCGAATCTCTACATGTATGTATGTGGACGTGACTTCCGGTGTTCCAACTATTCTTCTTTGACGTTCAGAATTTCCTACGGTTGATCTGATAAGTCTGAACATCTGATTTTCCTCTTCCTTCCCGACGATAACGGAGGAGGTTGAGCAGCTTTGACTAGGCCTTGGCCTGGAAACCGGGTTCCAGAAACTCTATGAAGGTTTATATTACATCCCAGTGGGACCAGGAACTAGGAGCACTTTTTCCATTTGGAGGCCTGGAGCAGTAGAAATTGAAACACTTCAAATAATCTTTCAGTATTGAGATACAGTGTCATTCAAGCTAGTCTACACGTTCTGTTCTCCCTCTTTCTGTTTCAGCCTACCTACATAGAAGCATCTGACGTTCTTCTGGCACAAGCAATGACAACGACTGTCATACAGCGAAAACTGAATGAAGAATATTGCAGAAATGCAAATTCTATTAAGGCGATGGTAGACTCGGGTCTCACACATATACCTTCAGATTTCATACTCCCACAGAATATGCAGCCACGTTTCACGAAAAGTGACAAGTCCAGGGACGTCCCAACAATTGACCTCAGCCTGGTGAATGATGAGTCCGAGCGACCACGAATAGCAACAGCAGTCACGGAGGCTGCCAAAGAATGGGGAGTGTTCAAGGCAAGCTGAACGAACTTTTGCCACGACAGCTCACCTGACTGCTTCTATACCGAGACTTGTGCTTGATCAGATACAATTTGCTGATGGTTTCGGAGCTCACGTCAGCTTGGCTAGTCTTGACTCTGTTTGCTTTCCCTTGTGATTGCAGGTTGTCGGCCACGGCATATCTGCAACGTTGAGGAAGAAGTTGATCCAGGTGATCCGAGAGTTCTTCGACCTACCGCTATCAGATAAACTGCAGTTTCTGGGTCCCTCAGGGGATACGAGCACCCCCCGGTATGGGAGGACCAGGAGAGGCAAGACGGGACACCAGAGCTGGCGAGACCAATTCCATCATAGAACTCCTCCTCTCGATTTCGAAGAACTACAATCATGGCCTGAAAAACCAGAAACTTACAGGTACTGTCGCACGTCCACAATCGTGAAGCAGAATTCTCTATTGGCTGCAAGCATTTATCTTCTGAATAGCTTATTTAAGCCAGAAAGATTGAGTTTTCTGAGAGCATTTTTCTTGCAGGGACACTATCCTTGAATGGACGAAGGAGATACAAAAAGTCACAGACACTGTGTTCAGCTTACTGGCAGATGCTTACGATTTACAGCCACGACGGCTTCAAAATTTGATGGGAACTGCAGAAAGTGGAATGGAGGCAACCATGCTGGCTGCATACTATCCTCCTTGTCCTCAACCAGATGTGGCATCGGGAATTGTTGCTCATACCGATCCGGTCGGTATGGTGGTTAATTTTGAAGATGTGCCAGGGTTAGAAGTCCAGAAAGATGGTACTTGGATACTTGTCGCCCCAGATCCTGAAAGCCTTATTATACTCACAGGAGACGCTATGGAGGTAAGCATCTTGACGTTCACATAATTGCATCAAATTATGGTACTGGTACCATAGTTTGAAGACGCCATTCAGTCTGTAGTCCATGAATACATGTTCACTAAGTAGTTATCTTCAAACGCCTACACTCGTACAACAAATTAGAAGGAATATAGTACTTTGGCTTCAGTGGCAGGGAAATTAGAAAAATTTCAGCTGTCTGGGGGATATATGTCAGGTAGTGTATTAGTGATACCACCTGACAACATGGTGATTCCGAAACGTAAACTTGGTTGTGGCATGATATGACAAAAATATGTTTCCTGCGAGACTCTCTCGCAGGTCATCTGTCGCAGATAGATTTATGGATGGACTCGGTTTGTGCTGCAGATAATCACGAACGGGAGGTGCAAGAGCTGTGAGCATCGAGTGCTCCTGAAAGAGAAGCAGGACCGAGTATCTGCCCTGGTTCTCATGAAGCCTAGTTTGGAGGCGAAGCTTTGTGTGGCTCCCGAGTTTATTACAAGTGGGCCACCAAGTCGATTCATGGGCATGAACATGACGTATCGTGAGTACCTCCAAACGTTCAGGAGGAAATGTTCAGACGCGACAGTTGATAGCTAGATTGTAGCAACGTGCATGAGATCGTCCCTAGAATATGTGCCTACATATATGTATGTGTACATACATACATATATGTCGGTGTATATATATACATACATATACAGCCGTACTCTTGGTGCTGCTCAGTTGTATGTACAAAAATATCTCAATAAAAACTGCAGAGGTTTGTGTCATGTCCGATGAAGACTGGGATAGAATATTGAGCTTCTTACCTACGACTTAGTCTGAGTTTAGTCGCAAGTTTCACGAAGTCGACGAGATAGAACTAGACAGGTAAAAGAAGAACTTTCGCCTCATAGTAGATCTACTATGAAGCACTAGATGCAGGACTTCGTGACTCCAAAGCGATGTGGATGCAAGGAATCCTCTATCATTTAGTTCATTTCAAGGTCCAGTTGATTAAAGGAAGCTCCGGGCCAGGCACAGATTTCTAGAGTTTGTACAGTGGTTGATACAGAATAAATACGTAGTATTCCTTCGTACGATGCGCTCACACATACTAAACGATCATCAGCCAAATCTCTCAAACCATTTCGGACGAAAGTCGAAAGAAAAAGGCCCGTGAAGAAAACGTGAGAGCAAGCATGTACCATGCCCCTTTTCTGATTTCATTATTGACTCCAAAACCAGAATCCATGCCAGTTGCCCATAGCATACGGTACGATGTGACAGTTACACTCACGTACTTGATCTGGAGTCAGTGTCAGAAAGTGAATACTAGGTACCGAGGGTCCGACCCCAACGATTATCAGATTGAACGTCCAAATACAGTAGGCTGTCCTGCGCATAGACGTCCACCTTGGATCTGAGTCCAGATCTCAATGTGCATCTCGACGTACAGCATACACAGAGCTATCCATCCGTGGTCAGTTCTTATTATATTGTACGAGAATGGACCCTGAAGTTCCACTAGATTTTGGCCTTGACTGTACACTAAGAAGTAAGGACGGAGGGACGTTAAATAGAGTTCACAAACGAGCTGCAGCCCCGTGACATGCCCAAACGCTTGGAGCCTTCTATCACTCTTCTGAAGACCAAAAGGCCAGGTAAATGCATACGTAATTGGGCATGTACGAGGAGGACATCGAGCTGGAAGCACAAGTAAATAGTCAAAGGTTAAGATCCACTCAGAGTCACTGAGTTCACGACATATGATTTCCGATCTTAGAATCAAAAGTCTACATACGGTACAGTAATTGCTCATGCTCTCGTGACCTTCCTTCATTCATTCTTTCCAGACTCCTGAGAAACTCCTGAAGTCGAACGCGTGATGAATTCAGATGAGAACAGAATGCACTCTACAGCCTTCTGGCATGGACTTCCTCCACCTGTACGGCAGAATTAGTAGTTGTTGAACAGAAATGAACTGTTGTTGAATTATGATTGCGGATGTAAGGTAAACGAAGCGCAGGCGGACATGGAGGCACCGCCCAGTTGCTGCGAGGTGAATTGGTCTGGAATGGGGAGATTATATGGCCTGAGCTATGACTGACCATCCTGCGATTGGTCGGAAGATTAGTACGTACCTAGCTACTACTACGTCGTTTACAAGGCGTGTGTGAGCAGGGTGGATGGTACTTTGACTTGTAAATCCTTTCGCACCAATCTCATGGGTTGTATGAGTTCGACGCAACGCCAAGTCACCTGGATTCGCTGTCACCCAACGAGTCCTCCCCCGCCCGTTCCTTACTTAGGACGAGAATCACGATTGTTGCTGTGGTTTGGTGCAGAGTATTCAAGCCGGCCAGTCAACTCTTGTCGTGATGACGATTGTCACGTTGACTGCAGTCATGTTGCGGTGTCAGAACGACAACTAGATCAAGTTTGCCGTCCATCTGCAAAAGGCTCATCTCATCTGGAACGATCGGACCCTCGATCGGGCTTGCCTTGCGACGTAGTAGTCTGTCGAACACGTAACTGAGACCACGTTCCAATATCTTGAGTTCGATACTAACGCTGAAGGACGAATGTTGGAGAGTAGGACTGGTACGGTCTTGAAAGACTTCGAAGGCCCTGGGGGAAACTCACCTCGCGCCGGAGGACATTAGGACTGGTCAAGGTCATGGTGGAGTAAATCACCGGACTTCGTAGTAACAACCACGATATTCCACTGCAGACAACTGGAGAGCAGGGATACAATGCCCTGTAGGCGTATAATGGAAGTAGTTGCCAAAAAATACACCTCAAAGGCCCACCCACTCACTGCATGGATCAGTGACATATCTTAGACCGAGCAAGTGGCGCGATTCTGTCCAAGAGTCTACTCAGGGGAGGCCAATACGCTTTTGTTGCAAGCCGTCTTGTGAGCATGGACCTTGATTACAGAGCTCTTACGGCAAGGCACTGCCCAGCGTTGCAAGCCTCACACGCCGCAGAGTAAAGCTGTGAAACTGGAGCATGGAGTTAGGACGAAGACAAGCAATCTGGTGCCAGGCAAGTTACAGCTCCTGGGCACGGAGCACCTAATGATCACTTAAGCTAAAAAGCTTCTAAAAGCAGAGTTGGGGTTCGGACACCAATGTAGTGTGCAGCTCTGAACTTCTTCACGTCTCGAGGTGTCATCCAGGCACTGTACCGCCTCCGATCGGGCTGTTGTTCAGGCACCAGTGCAACTGTACCAGCCTTCTGCGGCTGGGCTCAGAAAGCTGAAGGATAGTAGTTTGATTGAGGTCACCGTGCCATGCTCATGCAGGACGTCAAACTTTGTAAAATGGGCCCGGAGCTCTAAAACTATGAATTAGATATCTGAAAATCACTTTGCATGCCTGGTTTAAAACATCTGGACTCTACTGATTGTTCCTGAGTGCTTTGTGGGTGCGCCTCACAGCAGGATACTGAACGGTTTAAAAAATCTGTACCTGGCTTTCATGGTAGATCCAGTACTATTTTCTCACTTTTGTGAAATCGAAGGTTCGAGTCAGAATCCTCTGCTCAAACCTAACACACTTCAGAAAATCTCATTTTCAGTAGTCACCCGAAGGAGAACATTTTATTACTAACGTTTGCAAAAAACCCAACTCTGAGACCGTCGAAGAGAACAATATAATGAGAATCGATGGGCAAAACCGAGACCCAAACCAGCTCGAGTGGCAGCTGGGTTCAAAGGAACCAAGAACTGGAGCCGACAAGATGCAACGAAGTGACCGTGTTTTCTCAATAGATCGGCCGCGGCTAATTCTTGTTACACCATCAAAGATGCAGGACATGAGATATGCCTTGTGCCTGATCCCAAGGCCCTGCTGAATTTCCGTAACATTGATTCTACTTTTATTCCATTCTATCATGATAGTCGTTGAATGATTGTAATCATGTACGAGAGATGACAAACTATTACATCAGCTAATACATATTGACCTTTCCTGCATGAATATGTTCCCAATTGCAGTCAGGAAACCAATCAAGTCTGCTTCGATAAGTTGCTGAGTCACTGCAGGCACTTGCCTCATCATGTCCTTCATATGTATCCAATCTGCCTTCGGCAGAAAAGACGTGGACTCTAAACATACAAACAACCTGATCTCGTATGAAATCGTATGGCGATTGTGACAACAGCAAAACCTACATGCTGTTGTCGTCATATTATTGAGAAGCCGGACGATGACCACAGTCTCACGCTGGGAGCTTGTATATGACGAGCGAAAGATTATTATGACCTGGATGTATTCCTTCCCTACTTCAAGTCCTCGCTGGAAAGATGGTCATACGTGAGGACTTCCTTCACTCGAACTGCCGAGCAAGTTAACATAATGAATGAAACTATTCTGTCAGGCTAGGTGGTACCCACTAGCATACCCACTTTCACGTTTGTAGAGACAAAAGACATATTGACAGAAGACCTTGTTGGCCCCAACATGCTTAATTTAAAATAGCCATTTATCTTCCCGCTTGAACAAGTACCACAAACTTCACATGAAACCGTGCACTTATCTAGGCACGAGCGGATTTCCAGAAACAGCACTGCGGATTTTGTTGTAGGCATACTGCCAGTTGAAGGTCATGTTTACAGTCTCATCTATCTGCCAGGAGCTGCACTTAATTTGTTCATATTCACGTTCATCATTCATATGACAGTGAGGAGGACAAAATTCTTCTGGACTTAAAACGGAATGCGTTCTTATTGTCAATGGCTTTAGTCTGGTGAATGCACCTAAAAAACGAACGGATTCATTCGACGGCCTACTGTACCGGCTGAAATGTCTGATAATTGCAGGTAACTCAGAAACTTGTGTTCAATATCAGGTGTCGAATCGGTAGTTTTGCACTGTCTCCTCTTGTATGATATACAGCTTTCAATGGCAATGTACGAATTGACGCTCTGCTTTGAACGAACGGCAGTAGCCTGGCCCCGCGACTCTTTTCTTCCCTTCTCTTCTCTTCCTACCGTCGTCGTCTTCGTCTGCTTCTTCCCTATCCCCTCGCCACTCGAAGTCCAATCCACTCCACTCTAGTCCAACGAAAAGGTTCCTACTGTTTAAGGCCCGCTTCCCTTCGACGATGCCGCGCAGGTCTTCGCCTCGGATGGTGGTGAACAACGACAGTGGACAAGCCTGTATTCTGCGACGATACACCTCATCATCAGCAATGCTGTTCGCCTAAATGAGTGGGCTTGGATGGCAAGTAGAGATTTATGGTCTTACCATACTATTCATTGACAAAACTTCTTAACAGATGCTTCCGTCCTGGAAAACATGGCCAGAAAGTTGTATGCATAGAGTCGAAATGAAGAAAGACTACAGATTACTGATCTTATCTCTCATGCGTTGCGGTTCGCTTCCAGAAGCACCGTGGGCCATCTCCCGTTAGGTCTGTAACCGAGATTACATCATCTACCAGGGAATAATTTCATGCGAAGTCCAGTAAAACCCAGCATCACTCTCAGTGCTGGTCACTCATTTTCTATTTGTGTCCTCTATTAACCATAAGCGTTCTGTCCCGCGTTACTTCGAGAGTACGTCCTGGGTGGACGAACAGTGGTCCACAACGAAGATTATATATATAGATCCCAATGGTTCAAGACTTTCCTGTTGATTGATGAACAGCAACATCAGACAGCACGGTACTGTAGCAGCGAAAACTTGCGAAGGGTAACTTTGTACAAGGTAAATCGAAGCGAAGATGAAGAGTTCGAATTGGTAAAGCTTACCTCAATTCCCCCTGCGCTCCTTCTTATCACATGTGACACCAAGTCTTTCCCGCCGACTCCACCATCCCGGGTGAAATGACAATAAGGTACGAAATACAAAACGCCATACATACTAAAAATTTTTACCCATTGGGCTACCGCCTGAGATTGCTAATAACACCTTATTCGTTTTGAGTTTGTTAAAAGCCAGTCCTCTCCAGCAATTGTGAATTTAATAAAATATGTATATTACAAAATTTGTTCTCTTTGAAAAGCGGATGACACCTAGATCGATAATAAGTCTACGCAGAAAGAGCAAATATATCTCACTGAATACGGCCGTCATGTCCGATGATTGCAAGTGTGAAGATTACACACGTCCAGTTCCTCAGCAATACCACAACAAAATGCATTGCACTGGTTCTGTTTATTTGGACAGCCATTAATTCATTGGCGGCTCGGGTGTTAGAAAATCAGCTACAGAAGCAGCTCTTATTACCTGTTTTAACGAAGACTCTAGCACAAATTTGCTGAGCACAATACCACATATAAATACAACCTCGGATAAAATTGAATCGTATTCGAGGACGGAGTCGAATACGATTCAATTGTACTCGAGGATGGAGTCAAATTGCAGGACAACTCGAAAATGTCCAGGGACTGCTCTTGCACCGACACACCCTACTCAGAGAGCTCTAAAACAGCCCGGCCACGATGCAAAAGCTTGCTTGTTACTCATGTCTGGGTATGTTGTGATACTGTGGAGCACGTCTATGGCAGGACTTGATACGAACTTGGGACGATCACTCGTTACATTACTTGGTTCCCTGGACCAAGTAATATAGGGAGCGCTTGTCTTTCTCACAAGTTATCATTCTTCATCCAAGTCTGGGTAACAGCCTTCTCTTGCTCTCCATACTGCCAACTCGGTTGGTGCTAGTTAACTTCTTGCCTTCGTCACTTTCTTGCGAAGTGGAGGACAAAGTCGCGATATCGTGGGTTTGAGTTAACTGTACAACGCCCCTAAAGATAGGAAAAAAATTTCTTCCTACTCAGCTCAAGTTTCAGGTACAGATTTAAGAAGATCGTTGCCTTTTGTGGTTAGCATTAGAATCGTCGTCATCAGATTCATCTGAATCCTGGACTACTCTGACCCTAGATGCTGGACGCCCAAATCTACTTCGTCTTGCACGAGATTTCCCTTTGTGAATATTCACCGCTACTTCTGTGTCTTCTTCAGCTGCTTCATCGTGGTTTTCTGAGGTTTCTTCATCCCGTGCCTGAATATCTTCTTCTCCCTCGGATTCCTCCGGACAAGCTTCTGGTTCGTCCTCATCCTTATCTTCAACTGGCTCTTCGTTCTCAGCCACCTCAGTGCGGCTTTGCTTACGCTTTTTGCCTGCAAGAGAGATACCTCAACTGTCAGACTGCGCTGCGCTGCGCAACGATAGAAAAACGTCAAAGTAACAAGTCGAAGTCCTAGATTTTGGTAAGAAATGCTCAGAGGATGCTACAACCGCAGTTTGTAAAGGAAGAATACCATACCATCTTTTTCGACTATTTTGAAGTCTCGAGCAGTACTCCGCTTGGCTGCCCGTAATAAGTTTACCTTGGAAACTCTACTCAGCTGGATAAGATAGCGTTCACCTTCCTCAATATGGTAGATCAAATTTGGGATTGTTCGGCCCTCACGCTTGATTTGTGATACTGTTCCTCTCGCCTTTGAGATAGAGACATCTTGCTGGTCCTGCCAATTACAATCTTCTGTCAAAAAAAGGCCTGAAAACTATTCTGGAAAACGCCAAGGAAGTATAGAATTTAACACAGCAAGACCTTAACACCTGAGTATCATACAGAGGCATTGGAACATAGAGTGATTGATTACACAGTGGGCGACAAGAGTTTAATACTGTCAGTCACCAGATTATAAATACAAGGGTAGAGTAAGGAAATCAAGTACTCTTTGCATTGCGGACATGAATGTGTAAATTGGAGCGGTGAGCTTCTTGCAGGTCGCCTCTGCAAGCTTTTGAAATCGAATGCTGGGAGGCACTTGAATTACGCCTTTGGGTGCAATAAGGAGGCGAGTGGCAGCTGCCAGGCACTTGTAGAAGCGAGTGGCTGATTTGAGCAACTGCTCCGCGAGAGTACCTTTAAGTGGCCAGAGAGTTGGATTAGGCTTGGACGCATGCATGTAGACAAGCAGCATAGAACTCACGTTAATGAGTCAGCTAGTCATCCAAACAAAAGAAAGATTACGTGAGCTCACCAGTAAGTGTCATGGTTGTGAAAAGGGAGAGGACCGATACAGTTGATTCCAAACGCGTGTACAAGGTGTCCTCCAGTATAGCTCGCTGAGAATTTCCGGGGCGTTGAGAACCTCCAGGATGTAGAGGCGTCTTTTGATCAACATCTAGACATGCTTGGATCTTCAGTTTTGATACTACCCATTCCAAATCGACAAGTGCAACCTCTGTCCGCTGAAGAAGAAAACCACCAACGGCAGCTCGTGTCGCCTTGTTTATGATGGGGTATTGTTCAGAGCTCTCAACTGCCTCATGCTCGTCGGAGCCCACAACCATCAACAATTCGGCAGCTAGGCTCTACACGTGATATTAGATTTCCCATGACAGTTAGGTACATCAACGCATGACTGTAGAAGTCTAAACGGGACTGAGTGGACAAGATTATACATTCCGTTTCACTGAAAGTGTGTAATTGTACTCCTAACGCGTTATAAACAAGCAGTTGTGGAGTGCAAGCAAGGTTAGGCTCTTTGGAACAAGAGACTCTGGAGAGATATTGACCTGTGCCACAACAAGATCGTCTGGTGCTGTGTTCAGGCAGATTGCCAAGCTTATGAGACTGCGAGCAGCACCTAAATGGCGTACCCCTTGTTCCTTGCATGTCAGATGTGCCCACTTGCCATGTCTCTTCATCAATCCTTGAGGTAGCTTGCTTCCGAGTCTTTCATAGAGCGATGCAAAAACCTACAAAACAAGGGCGATCGAGTCAATCTACGACATACATTTGCAGTGTAATACGGTGGGAACTCGTATAGATCTGCACATTGCAACTTCAAGCTCAGGAAATCGAATTAATAACCTCAACGTCGGGATAATGAGCACGACTCAACAGTGCTTGTAATATGGGACGAAATTCGTTCAGCAGCCAATTGTGAATGAGCTTTGCTTCTGACTCAACATATGTATGCCCTTGATAATTTGCAGAGAAGGCAGTTTCCTCATCAGATTCCTGATTCTCGTCATCTTTATCTGCAGCAACTTGCTCCTCAGAAGGTTCGTTGCAGTCTATGTTGATCTGCTTTATGATCTCGGGAAGACACCCTTTACGAATCGCATTATTCATCAACTCGTCAAGGCATTTGATCGCTGTGGGCAAGAGACCCTCGCACATATCGATATCAGATTTCTTTCCTCTACTAAGCTTGCCCTTCTCTTTAGTGCCGTCTTGTGTCCCTTGCGCAGTACTTTTTCCTGACAGGCTCAGTGCTCTCACAACTCTGAATAGAGGACTTGCGAGCTGCTTCCAATCTGTATTTCCAACCCTCGTGGGCTCTTGCTCAAAAATCTCACAGCGTATATTCTTCAAGTGCCTAATACAGGTGTGAAGAGCGAAGCTAGCAATCCTGCTTTCGTTGCCATTGGATTCTATTTGAGATGCCCCTGCGGGGCCAGCTTGTCTGCCAGCCGACTGACTACCCCTTTCGCCTACACCAACAGAATTACTTGAGTGCAAGTAACTAGCATACTCATTGAGAAGGTAAACAATACAAACACTACTAAGCAATGGCTTCCGCTTGTCAACCAAGTTGCGAGGGGCAGAAAAGTTCACACTCTTTCCCACGTTTTGAACACCAGGATCTTTGGCTGCAGCTGCTTTTCCACGTCCTTTGCTTCCCGATTTCCCTGAAACCCTGGCTGCACTCTTTACTTGTTTCTGACCCAACATCTGAAACAGAGAGTCGTGAAGATCTAGGTAAGAATGTAACTCCTTTTCAATCTCCACACGCCTAGTTATAGATGATTGACGTATACAATCCTGGACAGCACAGTCCATGAGAACCTCCAGCACTCCGAGCAGAAGCCAAGCCTGTTCTAAGTTTTTCTCGCCCTCAATTGTGTCTGGGGAAAACTCCAATGTTTTGTCCCGATAAAAGTCTGCGCAGAAAGTGCGGGTGTGAGCTGCATTTAGTATAGAAAGGCATCTGAGAGAAAAAATACTCCATCGCTAAGGACTGCTTGGGCCCTGTTGATTGGGAAAGCTGATGTGAAGCATCCTGGTATTTCAAAGTCACCCGTGAAGGCCGCACTGTTCACTATTCTTGACAATACTAAATACACAGAAGTTCTACTCCATATATCTGAACTTCGCAATTTCCACCTTATCGGGCAGTGAACAAATTTCCTCACCTCCCAGAGAACTCGTGTTCACTGTTTTTCTGATGCTGTGAAACGCCATCCCTAAAGATTCTGCTGAGGACAGTTTCGATGCCTGCACAGCAAATGGACCTAAATGTGACAATGTCCAGCTGTGGAGCAAGCAAGGCTCAGATTATTCCACGATCGGCAGGCTATAATATAGGACGTAAAAGATATCAATAAGTTATTCACTGGCTTTACCTCTTGTTCTTCAAAGGACGGCATCGAATGCGCAGATTCAGTTCGTTGAAGAACCAGTAGTTGATGAATGCAGGACAATAAGTGGTCAAGTGGTTCGACCACACGAACCTTGTCGTTTTGAACAACAACGCACAAATCCAGTTCGAATGATACTGTGTTTTCCTGAACCGTTCAAGAATATTAGTGACAAATTCACAACTCAAAGAGATTACGCATAAATCATCAAGCCTTCTAAACTGCTCAAGGAGCCCTCAACCTCTAAACTGTCTCACGCCCAACAATTGTGATCAGATTGGATAGCAAAGATCATGAACTATATTTGAGCTTACGGCATGTCTCCGAAGCCCGCAGGGTACTCTTATTGGTAAAGTGCGAAAAATCTATCTGGTCTTCTCCGTTTATATTCGTTGATTATTGGTCGTGTGACGTACCGGTCCAGACAGATAAAACCGAGAGAAGTGGGGGAAAATAAGATCAAATATATTCTCCTCTGCGTCTGGGTCAACCTGCAGGAGCTTTGGTAGACCTTGATACAGTGTTTCCCTTACGTTTACCTGCACATAGCAAGAGTGGTTTGCACACGTTGGTATCAAATATTGCGCACTTAACACCCGGTCAGTATTTTGTAGGAGATGACAGATACTTAAAGTATTGCTTGCCTTCGTTACCTCACTTGGCTCATTATATACTGTACAAGTACCTGCTGCGAGAGGCACCTCCTCAGTAGACCCAAAAGATCTTGGAGCAGATTAACATTAGTCTTTCCAGACAAGCGAATCCTGTCAACCTGGGATGAGCTCTGACTGCAACTGGCTTCACTATAGCGGTTCCGGAAATTCACTGCATCGGAATCGCACATACGAGCTTGCTTCTCGGCTATGATAAGTTCCAGCAGTCCGTGTACTGCAGTCATTCTAGCGGATTCTTCTCGACCGAACATGGCCTTACGTAAAACCAAGATAGTGTAATCCTGCAAACAGGAATTTTAACATTCAAATCAAAGAGATATGGAGCAGACTCATGAACACAGCCGATACTTTTAAATCGTGTGGTAGTGAACAATTAAACTCGACACACATATGGTTTTTGACAGCTGGGAGTTGGGAGTACAAAAGTTGAGAGTTACTACTTAGTACACCGTAAACATCCTTGATATCGTTCCCTGGAATCAATTATTGCACCCTAAATTTGTAAGCCGGTTGCAATGGGGAAATTGCACTAGTTGGTCCTGCAGAGAGAATATTGATGGAAGCTTACATAGCAGGTTCTCTCTGCTTACCTGCAGGTCGCGGCTAATCTGAAAGAGAGGGCAGATAGCTTGAAGAAGAGAAGATGCAGCAGTAGACGAAAGAAACGTGAAGTAGTCCAAACATTCCTTCAGTCGGGCACTGTGCTCCAGCATCAGCTGCGGGCAATCTTTCACTAGCTGGACAATGACCCTGAAGAGGGTCAAAAGAACGTGCGATTGTTGCTATTAGTCTGATATTGGACCCAATATATGTTACATCCTCTCTGCACTAGAAAAGTGATGACATTTGAAAAGAGGAGATCTCATAACTCTGCTATCTGGGCTTTGGGACATATTATACACAGTTACATATGCTATAACTAATGTACATGAGTACATTAGTTACTGTCCCTCCTGAGCTTTTCGAATATATGTGTAACAAATTTCCGGCAATGCTATATGATATACAAGGACAAATAAATAACCATCACTTGCCTGATAATAGGTGCACTGTGCTGAGGCCTGAGTCCAAGAATCCTGCACTTGCATTGCTCAATTATCTGCAAAGTAGGTAGCAAAATGTTGTAAGTACAACCTGTTTGGTGAGAAAGTCAAGAGTAAGACGAGTAGGTTTCATGTAATTGAGTCTTAGAACACATTGACAAAGCAACAAGTCTTACTATCGGTAGGATAGATACGCTGCTTGACAGGTAGAATCAGGAAATCATGAACTGGTGTCTGAACTTCTACAGTTGTTCCATTTATCATTAATTCATATTCATTTCGAGCACTCAACTCAACAGAAAAACACAAGACGAGTACTAATCCGACTGCATTGGTCGGACAGTGAAAGAACCAGTGCAGAAAAGAACCTCATCACGGGCCATTTCATGCACTTCAAAGGCCGCGGTCAGCACACGTATCCCCAGTTCTTGTGTTAACGAAACTTGGTCTGACGATCGCGAACCTTCGTCTAGTCTTGGTCGTCCGACCCCTACGGATTCAATCAAGCAAAAACCGAGGCGTACGACACTAGGGATAATATGATCCCAACCAAAAGAACTGCTTTGTACCTGCATACGAAAAGATATTACAAGTTACACAACCTTTCTGAGTAACCGGTTCAGATTGTCCTCTGTCGCATGTATTTTTGTATTGCAAGCTCCTCAAGGAGCCTGCTGAAATAGCACGTGATCAACCACAAAGCTCGAACACGCAAGAGGACGAAATTGGACAGAGCCGGGAGGTAGGACACAGGGGCTCTCCCGATTGCATAAATCGATGCATCTTAATTGACAAGCAATGTAAAGCAGAGAAGAAGCATGGAATAGCATCCTGGTGAAAGATTCGACAAATTCAAAGAACAACATTTATAGAGTACCCAAAACGGAAACCTGCATGGGAGTTGCGGAAAAGGGAGGCAGGCAGTCAAAATCCGTGGGAGCAAATGAAGAAACAGAAATGGCCCATGGTTAAATTATCGAGTGCAAACGGACTGTCAAGACAAAGTCAGTGGTATCATCAGGAACCAGATATCATATTCGAACTTCTAAGGTTTCAGAAATCCAGTTTCGAATATTACCGTCCGCATGAAAGACTGCTCCATCTCTTTGGCGGCCTGCGTGCATTTTGCGCCCAATATGGACGCTGCCAGTCGAGAATCTCTGGAGGGCAACATGAAGGACAAGATGAGTTATGGTACCCGCAAATCTTTAAGAAGGCCCCTCACATACAAGAGGTTCTGAACATATACTGATTTGTTGCGTAAGCACCTGCATTGTTGACAGTCTTTGTAACACTTAACGGCTGCAGCCTTCAGAAGGTCGAAGGAAGCTTGCTCAAATCGTTGTATGCGGCCTATGGATAGCAACACCGAGACCAAGAACGGTGTGGAAGGCCAAGCATTCGTTCGAACAAGATAAAGCAACTCCTGTCCTAACGCTGGATCTTGCTTTACTGCAAAATTGATGTGCAAAACTATGGTGCCTTCCATCTGCCGGAAAGCATCTACAGACGGCTTCGCTCGAAACGCTTGACCTTTTCCGCCCCTGTTCCTCCTGTTGGTCTCAAAGGTGTGCAACTTGTTGAAAAAGTTAATTAGTCCGATCATCACGATCCGCTTGAATCCTTTTGAGGCCAATAACAGCAATTGATAGGCCAAAGAAGGAAGGTCTTGCGGCTCGGCATCTTTCATATGGAAGAAGAGTTTACGTACGAATCCGTCCATCTCTCCTGTTTCGAGTGGAAGTTCTCGAAGTAAACTTGCCATTTTTGTTACGAACTTTTTCGACCAACACATGGCCAGTAAACGTTTCAACATGACCTCTCTATATTGGGCTCCAGACATTGAGGTAGAATCGACTCCTTCACAAGGTATCAAAACTGACTCTGCAGAGACTATCAAGCCCAAGCACCTAGGCAGGAATTCGAGAAGATGTTGGTAGCGACTTTCACCGGAATCCAGCAAGTCTTGATCAGCTCCGTTATCGAGATGTGAGAGAATGGACTCAGCAATAGTTGGAAGTAACTTCCGAGGAAGCCTTTCCATTTCTTGAATCAAATAATTTACACAGTCGCCTATTCTGTTGTCCACAGCTCCGTATGAGTGCACTAGATCAATGACTGTCACAAAAATGGAAACGAGCAATTGGCCAGAATTTGATGATTGAGTTTCCAGAGCCAAAGGTCCCAGTGCATTAAAAATGGCTTTCAAATACTCCAGAGTTTCTTGCCATGAGTTTTTCGACCTCTTGATAAGAAATGACACAATATCATCACTAGGCCTGGACAAGATTAAACCGGCGACTCGCTGTCTAGTTGGGCAATTCTGCGAATTTCCAGCACCCTTCATTCCCTCGATTATTTCTTCATCTAGATCCTTAGTCAAGGCACTTTCTTCCTCCGGTTGTTCTGATGTCATACTATCAGTATTCGTGTCCCTCGGTATACGGTCTAATTCTGACGAGTCCATTTCAGTCCGAGAATCAAGACGGAGATAGATTTTCTCTGTATCTCAACCTGAATTCTCAAGTCTGCAATCAACCAAGTGAAGCCATTACTGAAAAAAACGAGTTAATGACTAAGACTGCCCCCGGAGACAACCAACGAGGGTTCACAAGTTCAAGAGAAAAGAAGATGGAAGAGAAGAACGTCCAGAACCGTCAGAGCTCGACCAAGCATCGCATGAAAATATTGAGTTCATGTTGCAATCGACTTACCTCCAACAGTGGGGACAATCATGGGTTTCCACGCGGAAATTACAATGCATATCTAAAGCCCCGAGGAAGCAGAGGCACTCCACGACGAATTGCGCAGTACGAAATCAAGTTTAAGCAGACGTCTCGGGAACTGACAAAAATTCTCTTGCATCGCTTTCACTTCGCTTTCCTGGATTCCCTCCGTCACAGAACTGAAATTGAGCGCTTTCTTCAATTCGCGAGGTGTGTACAAATCGACGTACTCTCGAATGCCGTGTGTCGAGAACGAAGCTGTATTCGTAAGCGAGGGCCTGCGTTAGTGTCCCATGACTAGCTTTGGCCGACATATTCAAACACAGACCACGAAGCTGGCTTTGTTTCATACAGTCCGCTCCGAATTTTCTCACAAAAACGCGCCAAATCATTGCACCGGAAGTGCCGGTACAAGCAACTGTACTCTAGTATTGAGAAACGGGTACGTCCGGGTTGTGGATCCGGGTGGTGTATAAAAAGATACCGGAAGCCGAGTGGAAGACGATGGTTTCATGTATGGCCCATATATGAAATAGCCCATATAATATGGGCTAAGATATATATTCCATCGAATGCCTATTGAATTTGGAAAACCATCGACTTAGATAACATATTTGTAATACTTGTACAAGAACATATTGTATACAAGTGTTGATCTATATCAGATGTTACGTTGTTGACTAGTTTCTAGCATAATCTCTCACTGCGGTCAAATACATGAACTTGTTTCCAAATAAAGCTAAAGCGATATGAAGAGACATAACATCTCTTTTCATGCATCTATATTGGGAAATCTGATTGTTGACTCTATATCTGCAAAAGGGAAAAAATAATGTGATAATATGTCTAACAGTAGCTTTCATCAAAGTAACATAACACTTTCTAATCTCGATCAATTGCGATGCATGCAACTGTTGTTTACACATTATGTATCCACCTTGCAATGATATAGCTCATCATTCTACAACCAGAGAAAAATTAACCTTTGCTTTTCTTTGACATAGAAAGATGCGTTCACATTTAGAATGCACACACAAAAATTACATGTCACTTCAAGCAAGGCAACATACAAAAGCTTTACTTAGAGACATCAAGATTGAGTTAATGATAACAACTACCCTCTCTCTCATCATATAGGAACATACTAATCTCATTTCAAATAGCTAGAGTTGACAAGACCTGACTTAAGTAATAACGTTAACTTCCTTAATCACTCTAAACATTGTACAAGAAGCATACTTGAAAGACTTGGTGAACTAGAGCTAATTAGAACTAACCTCTATTCAAGACTTGTTAGAGAAAAAGTCATGTTTATAAAAAAAAATTTGCTACCAAACTAAAATTATGTTGCTTAGGCAAAATCTGCATAGTATGACAATGGTTTAATGTATCTAGTAGGTTGATTTTACCATCAATCTTCATACTCTTATTAAAAAAAAAATATCTTTTAAATTAGTATTTCATGTTAGTGTGTTTCACAAAGCTTTGCTTCAATTGCTTTACAACAAGTTGTAATGCTCTTTACATATCACATCAAATATTGACGATGCTTTACTCCATTCTCATCTTAGTGATAACTTTGTTCAATTAAATAGTTTTTTTTCTTGTGTCGTTACATATTTAGCTTCAATAATGGACCTAGTTGTGCATTTTTGCAAAGTAAATCTAAATTTAATGCACTCAACTTCAAATATAATCACGTCAAATCTTATCATGATTAGCATCAAGATAGCTTTACAATAAATTTTCATATTCCAATACATACTCAAACCAAAGAACTTAATTTTCAATCGTCTTCATTTTGTTTTTGAATTCAAAATTCAAGAATTTTTTTTATTTTTTTCATATTAATTATGATCTAACACAGATCAATGTATATATTTGATAATATCATACATTTAAATCTCATATTAGGTGGTGTTTTCAATTTTACAATGTATCTTGTGAGCTTAATTATGTGCTCACCTGTTGATTTAGAACTAGAATAGAAAAGTAGAAAATCTAAGAACAATCAAAGAGAAAAAATAAAAAATAATTAGATAGTGTTAGTTAGATGTTAGTCACTATATACGTTAAGACGGCTACGTAAAGGAAACGGTTACGTACAAGAACCGTTCTTGAGTTGATGGCGAATTCAAGAACCCACAACGAGGAGTATCATCTTGACAGAGTGCGAGTTGATGGTAGAACAGCGAGAGTAACTGCGAGATTCATTAGCACTGCTCGTTCTTGGAGTGCAATTGAATTGTGAGGTAGAGTACTTGAGGAGTAACTATGAAAAGTAAAGCCGCAAGCAGCAAGGTCTATTTAGAAAGATTGTGACGAGAGCTGTGCAAATTATCAAAAGGAGCGTTCTCCCGGAGGAAAGCGCAGTAGAGGAGAGAGTGTGGCAAGGCCAGAAGTGTTGTACTCTTGTGGTAGCCTAGTTTTTCTTTTCTTTCTCAAAATGAGAAGTTTAAGAGATCTGATAGAGTAAATCCCTCATAACATTTTCAATTAGTAACGCCTTGACTTAGTTAGGATCTTGATAGATAAAGCTTGACACGGTTGTTCTAACGAGCCCAAGAACTCTTGAAACGGATAAGAGATCACTGAGTTATGAGTGTCAAAAGTAGCTGATATGGATAGGCCAAGGCGCGGAAGTGCCTTCGGCAAAGGAATTTTGGCCTTGGAGCAGAGATTTTGCGGAGCCCATATCTACGCGATGGACGGTTGGATGGAGTTGAAATTTAATGAAGCTGTTGGTCTTAGCCGGCCGCGCATGCTTGCGAATTTTCAGACTCAGAGCTAGGATCTAAAGCTCTTAAAGAAGCTGGCGGCTCAGTACAATAGATTTAGGGTTAGTCTGAGATGTAGGACTAGGTTTTGAATTTGGGATAGGGGTGACCTGGCAGGCTGGGGCTACCGGTGCTGGTGGGTTTTAGTGGTGTGCGGGGGAGTCTTCTTTCTGTGAGTTGATTTCCTCTCATGGAGGATGAAGAGAGAAGAGTTAGGATTTGATAGCTAAAGGATATTGGCAATAGTAAAGGTAGCACGAATGGCTTTTGTCTAAGTGCAGTTTCATGAGTGTTAGTATTTTATTCTTGTTTGCTTAGACCACTCATCCGACCTCAAACGCAAAGAGGTGGGGAGTTTAAAGCTTACATATCTATTAATTTATCTATTTAGATTTGTTTTATCAATGAAAGAGTGAAGTTTTCAATATCTTAGAGTGTTGGTGTGTGAGTGAATTTCAGTGATGAATGAAGAGTATGTTGGATGATGAGTATGAGGAGCAATTTGGGCATTAAATAACCATAATGAGCTATCTCCAAGCCATCTGAGTTAAACCTAAGTGAAAATCAGGCCGAAGGTTGCAAACTCGCGTTAATTATTGCGGATTTGAATCTTTAGAATTTGACTGTTAGCCTCAACAACTTTCAAGACATAATGTAGCATGTTCTAAAGCTCTTGAGTACCAAAACCTTGCTACCGTGCACAATGTCTTTCAAATGAAAGATATAGAACCATTTCAATCAAAGTGATATCAATTTTTGCCATGCCGAGTAATTTTTTCTATCTTTTGTTTTTTTTCTTCACACAATTACTAATGTATCTTGCATTTGCAATTCCCACATAAAAATATTTGCACACTTGCAAAATTTCTTATTTCTTCAAAGTCATAGCGTGTGATTGACACTTGTGCATGTGAAAAAAAATCGTTTTCATACTTCTTAGAGTAGAAAATGCAAAAAAAATAAATAGAAAGCACAAATAGAAAAAACCACATTGATATGAAAGAATGTGGTTTGTCGCTATCGGATTACTTCCACATTAACAACTAGATCTATACTAAAACATCTCCAAAAGTGTTTAAAGTGAATTGTGGCTGGTTCCTATGTAAACTAGGTAGCAAAAACTCTAAATCTAATCCTAACTAGTATTAAGTCTAAATCTAATCCGAGCTAAATTAAATAGATCTCAATCCAAAACTTGAATTAAAACTAACATTATTCATATCTAAATGAATAATTTAGATAGTGAAAAATTTTGTGAAAAATTATAAAAATTCATATTTATAACATAAAAACCTGAATGTTAAAAATAATATTCAACTTGATATACTTGTCAAGATTCATTATCATTTACTTGATTCAAGATAAATGCTCGTAAATTATTAAAATAATTTTATTCTCCAATCCAAATTAAAATAATTTGAAAATTTTTGTACTTTTTATGATATTTTTTAGCAATATAAAATTGAAATGTACAATATGCTACTTCATATGAATGATAAAATATGATAAAAAAATATTTATTATTTAATGTTAAACCACAAAAACACATCTAACAATTCACAATCAGATATAAAATCTAGCTATTAATGGATGTGTGATATTTTTTTAGGATTTATTTATTAAATTAATTTGGATACACTACAGGCTTCATTAAACATGATATAAGTCAAGAAAAATAATCACCTATAAACCATACTTCATGAATCAAATCTTGCCAATATTTTTGAATTTGTGAAAATTTTTAACACAAATATTTACATGTCATTTACCTATGTCTTTAAAACATTTATAAGATTGAAACACATAGATAAATATTCAAATCAATGAAAAACTTATTTAAAATCATTTTGTGGTATTATTCATTTATAAATCAGCAAAATTTCATTTATTATTATTTTAATTTATTTAAAGCATGACTATACAAACTATTGTGTCTTTCACAATCCAGTATGGACAAATCAATGAGTTAATCCAGATGAACACTTCATAATTTTTGATCATTATTTCTAGCGTTAAGTATATTTACTAATGTATCTTTCATATCCCAACATCAACAAAACAATAAGTCGATTGAAGTGAACACTTCATAATCTCAAGATTCAGGAAGATGAACCTGTCATGAGATGCATAGACTATTGACATTAATGTTTGTAAAAAAACATGAACAAATGAAATAATATATTAAAGAAAATAGTTTTTGTAAAAACCAATTCACGTGAAATTTCTTTGGAGTTAAAATTGTCAAATTCTTTTGTTGAAAAGTAGTAAGATGCTAATTATAGATTAATAAAAATCCAATTCAATCACTAGGCCTTAGGTAAAATTGGAAAAATGCATTTGCTGGAGTTTCAAATTTTACAAAAAAAATTTTAAAATTTTAAATTTATCATGAACATCAAAAAAAATTTCAACAAATTATCCTGATAGCAATTCTTGATATTCTATTTTGAACATATTTTTTGAAAATGAAAATTGGAAATCAAAATAAATATGAGGAAATTGCGATATCCTTCAAAAAACCTTCTACTCAATTTTTTTTTATCAAATATGATAATTTAGCGAAATCATAAATAACAAGATTTATTTACATCAAACGTTTTTCTAAATATTTGTTATTATTTATTGTTGACTATAATTTCAACTATTTCATTTTTTAAGTTTTGATCTTTGATAGATTTTCCTGTTTTTACAATAATTTTATAAAATAAAAAATCAACTTGATATTGTTGACAATAAGTAATAGTCAGTTTCAAAAAACTAGCTGATGTTCTGATCCATATATTTTATTTTATTTTATTTTATTTTGATGTACACTTTTATTTTCAACAATTAGATATTTTATATATATATATATATATACATGAATGATTTCATATAATCAGTAAGATTTACTGATATAATGTTAGGTTAACTTTAAAAGCATCTAAAAAATGCATGCAATTATGTTTACACTTGATATTTCTTCAATAAATCATGGTTGTTTCTCATCGACATCATCATGTACTAATCTGTACATTGCAAATTTTTTCATAAACTTAAATATTTATTTTTTAAATTTTTTTTAAATGTGGTAAATATTTGAAAATGTTATTATTCCTACTGAAATCCATTCATTCTTTTAAAGAGAATTTCATATAAATTGAAGATAAATTAAATTACATTAAATCTGATGTGTAGGGTATCAATAGTAAATTCATTAAAAAATATCAAGCTGCTGATAGAATATTATGTCAAAATATAGATTATACATAATTTTATAAGATTCAAAAGACATTTTGTCTACTTTCCAAATAATATCTTTGACAGATGCTCATGTTAAAGATAAAAAATTCTTATTGTGTTATAAATACTTGCTTAATGTGTTTTTTTCTTAAAAACATTTGTATTGAAATTGAATTTGATTAAATGTAAATTAATGAGCAGCGAGCATCTGCAATGCAAATTATAATCTTTATACTCTGATCAAGATGAGATCATGCATCATCACTATAAAATGGTGAATCAATAAGAAAAAATTGTTCCTGTACTTTTTTTGACATGTGATACGAATTTTGTTCACTCTTTTCAAATGTTTATATTAATCATTTTGACAAAATTTCGAATGTCGAAAATAATTATTAAGAGATCAGTCACATTGTGGTTCAATTTCGATATAATCATCCCAACCAATCAGTCAGATTGCATCAATCCACCCTTGGGAATAACTTGCCACCTTGCTAAACTTCCCTTCCCAAGTAGTTGTTGTGTTTCCAAAACAAGCTCTAAATCTTCACCATCAGCTCTAAATTACCATATTAATTTGGAGGCGTTGGCAACCATGATGAGTATACATACATGAAACGATAGAGCAGAAGTCACGTATGTAAGATGGGTGTGGTTAAAATCTATGAGCGTAGTACATACTCTCTTAAGAATGATCATTCCTGGAAGGCCAGAATCTTTTCATCGAGACTGAATCTTCTGGTCAGATCTAGAGCTTGTATGTTTGGAGAAAGCAGATTTCCTGAAATTTCATGCATGCTACAATACATTGCATCAATCTGCTAAAATATCGTAACCGTCTTAGATATAAACTGTACATTATATTGTAACAAAATACCCCTTTTGCTCATTATTTGTGGGATGATTTGTGGGATAGCGCTTGTGTTCTCTGAATTGAGACTGGAACACTGTTGTAAGATGCATATATGAGAACAAAGGCGGATTGACCGCAGAGGTGTAATAAGGAGCAATATAGCACTAATTCCTTTGTCTAATACGGGGCTTGTTTATAACAAGAACTGAACAAGATCATATCTTAAAGAATTGTTCGTTATAGCTAGAAGTCACTTTGGAGATATACACCCGCAGGCCTTTGAATGCAATTAATGTTCAAAGACCTGCAGACAGAAGATGAAAGTGAAAACTTGTAAAATCTATCACACTCACTCAACACGATTGAAGGCATGACGGAGTTGATAATACTATCAGTCTTCACCTGCAAGCAAGCATGATTCATGTAATACATACCTGGGATTTGGTCACCACCCACCCAGGTGATTCACGTTGCTAGATCACACTCTTTGCATGATAACCAGATTCCTTCACCAACTTTGTTGAACCATTGTTCGAGAGAGATGCAGGGAGTTCTACTCTCCAATAACCTGCTCTGGAGTTATCTATCTTTACCAAAAGCTAGTAGAGCTATATAAACCTGACTAACCAATCGTTCGAAGTTGTCATCCCACATGGCGAGAGAACAAACTTTACGTACTTCAAGAATGCCTTGCTGTTGATGTGGATTGTCTTTGGAAGCTGCTTCTGCAGAAGCCATTGCAAGAGCTTGTCTCGCTTTTTTCAAAGATTCCAACATGGGGTACATATTTGCTGAAGTGCTAATAAAATTCGTGTACGCTGAATGAAGCTGGGAGGGCAAAATCGAATTGCATGCATCTGAATCCTTCTGGCGCTCGACATCCTCATTCGCTTGCCTGAATGATAATTCAGCTTCTTTCAAGGATTCAAGGTTGCTGTTTGAAGATTCCAGTGTAACCGTTGTCATTCGCATACGAGCAAGTCCAGCAACGATCTGAGCCAAAGCAGCTCGTCCATGATCAGGTATTTTCTCGTATCTTCGACAGCATTCATCCATGATTTTCGCCGCTTCAGAATAGCTTTTTGTAACAGTTTCCTCTCCTTTGGATCCATCACATACCTCTTCCTGGTATCGAGAGCTCAGGAGAAATTTCATCCCTGCATGAAGATAAAGATCTGCCACAGCAATCTCATCCTTATCCCCGGACATGCGTTTCAAGCCGTCTGCAGCATCTTTCAGAGCATGTGCTTCCATCTGGGCGTTCATAATAAAGAAAGAAGCTTCTTCTTTCTTCAGGATATTTTCTACTCCTCCTTCCTTAGGCCTGGAAAATTGATATGTATACCCTCGTTTGGGGGATATGAGCATGACTTGCGAATGCTTGACGTCCTTGTGATCAACGTCTCCACCTGAATGGAGGTTGTGATCGTCCTTGGAAATCTCGAACCTGTGTTGCTCTTTGGGATCGCTCTCTCCCAGGACTTGGAGTCTCTCTTTTTCCTTGAAGCTCACAGTGCTGTCTCCAAAGGTGTCCGGTCTCAACAGCTGCCACTTATCAGTACCATGAACCCGTTTCAAGATCTTTTTATTTCTTCCTTGTAACCCCACCATCTTCGAACATTTCTGGAGTCCAACTACTCTAGACTTTCCGGATTCAGGAATGCTTGTTTCTGATTTCTTCTTGGCCAGAATTGTCTCACTGCTTGCAGATACAGTTTTTATTTTCTTGGCGGTAAGCTCCCTGTTTCCAGATATAACTCCAATCCTTCTTGCTAACCCCTTGACTTCTTTCCTTATAAGGGGAGATACACTCAAGGGGCTTTTACACGTTGGACTCAAAGCTGAGGGAGGTTCAGATGCCTCCCTAGTGCCATTCAAATTTCCAGCATCACTTGAGGCGGGCCATCCAAGTAACATATAAACAGCAGCTGAAGTTTCCTCTTCACTATACTTGCAGTGGTTCAGTCCGGGAAGCCATGCCATCTCCCGACACTGCCAATCTTCAGGCAGATCGTCTACTGTAATGTGGGGCATACAAAGTCTCCATTTTTTGCACTTCGTGCATTCAACCCAATCATCGTAAGGCTTAGGACTCAGCTGAACTGAATGCTTTTGTTCTTCTCCAAGGCCTGTTTCTTTCGAAGGACTACTTCGTAATCCCAGAACCTGCTCCATGTTTCTCCCAACCTTACACGAGACTGAGCCCGCAATCTTAATCGCCTTCACACCATCAGACCCTTGGTAGATGCCCTGGAGTGTAATGTGATCGCCTCGAGCTTCGTCATCGTTGGTAAGTCAGCACATTTCCAGCTACAAAATGGAAATAGTAAGATTAACTCGCGACGCAGCACAAGCCAACGACAATTCCATCAGATATAATCAAAGCCTGTCCAAACCTAGAATTTCAAGGGCTCAGTTTGCAAAACAAATCGTCTAATCCACTTACCGATAGCCACTGACGATGCTTTGCGGAAGGCGGTGAACATTCTCGTGTACAGTGACAATGTGAAGACATCAGGACTGTACGAGTTTTCAAAGCATGTCATGATTTACAAAGACAAGGCTCGTTCAGTTTGTGGGTTAATGCCGAATCGATGTATAAATGAATGTGAAATCGCAATAGCTCAGAAAAACTAAAATGCATACATGCAATTTGTGGCAAGTTGGAGTATGATTTGATTTCTTTACATTGATTTTGCCCTCAAATTCGAGAATTTAGTATAGATAACTTGTAAAAACCTTTTAATAATTGCTTTTCCAAATATTTTCAAACTGAAAGTTGGATGAATGTGACCGTTCATTTCCATACTTACGATGACATTTCAATATATCTTCCCTCCTGGAATAACCTGGTGTGACTTAAGACTTCCGTATAATAGACGGTGATGATGTCCTATTCACCATTTAATCGAATAAAATTTATTAATTTTGCGTACCTATCAAGACTTCTTGATAGTTTGGGCAAGCTGTTGTACTTAACACATATAGATTGAAATATAAACCATCCAGATATACATCACTATTAATTGGTTGGTACAGTCCAGTTTCACCAACTCCATCAATGACATAGCTTGTCAAATCTGAAACGAATGTTCAAGTAGTTCTTCTTCCTCTCCTTTTTTTCTTCTTATATCTTGAGTAAGTAAACGCCGAAATTATTATTATGTGAAAAGACAATTTTGTAGAATTATATATATTTAACTTATATTGCCATAAAAGCCTTGACAGTTTTGTTTTATGAAGACATGCTAATTGGATGATGAACCTTAACCCATCACATCGAAGACGAGGATATTTGAAGACGAGGCTTTAGATTGAAGAGGGTTTAAGATTTTATCTATTTGTTAAGCTTTGCGTTTAAATAAATTTGTTTCAATTATTCTCAATTTGGCTGATCTCATAATTGTTACAAAAAATTTGAAAGTGTACCACATAAGGACCGAGAGAAGAATAATCAGGAAAAAATTCCGATATAAATTATTTTAAATTATTTTACCCCAGTGATGATAAGTGAGAAACAGCTCAAGAGAAATTTTGTTCTCTTTGCTTGTGTTATCCAAAATATAAACAGTGAGACTGCATTAGTAATTCTATCCTTCAATTATTATCAATTTATTGTGGTCCACAATGAACTGAATCCCTAAGATCGTGTAAGACAGAAGCAACCCATGATTAGGAGGTAAACCTGGCGACCAAAAGAGTTTAAGCAATTAGTAGCCCTTTTCAAAGCAGCATATTCCAAAAGGAGTAACTTTGAATAAATGGTAGTTGCTTCTCCGATTCGACAAGTTGTGAGACTGACAGTCACCAAAGTTCAGTTCGGCACATAACTGATTGTAACACCGTCAACTTGAACTATTCCACTTGCTTGCGTACCAGCACTTAGTCTGTCCTTCTCGTATATTTTTTATAGTGGTTCATACTTCTCTGCCTGTATGTAGCACAGCTGTAGAAATGCAGCACTCAATGAAATGCCTCAGATTATTAAAAAAAATAAAATAATACACGGCTCGATTCTGAAGATTTTATAAAAGGCATGTATCATGCGCCAATTAGATACAAAAAAGGATGGGAAGACCCAGGAAGCCGTAGAAGGAATAAACGACACGGGAAGGCATGAATTACTGCTCGTTTATATCTTCGTTCTTGAAATCGTATACCACAACTTGTAACCATGTCTATTATTCGATACCCTGGAATTTGCACAAGTGACATGTAGCGGAGATGAGGAACGCTGAAGCGACTGAGTCTTCTTCAAATCTTTCGACAGAAGAAATTTGACAATGTCAGCGCTGTGTATATAAGCATGGGCCATGACGAGATGGGAGCTTTCTGTGCCCTTCCAGCACATGTTTCATAGATGTTATTTGTCACGTCGTCGAAGGTATTGTGAAGGACCGGTACTAGGATATAATCCAGTGCAAGGGGAAGAGGTCAAGATGAATCCGTCGAAGGTTCTATATGTACACTACGAAGCATCAGAGGTTACCTAGACCTCGTTACACCTTTTGTACTGGCTCGAAAGTTCGTTATGACGGAGAACAATCGGGCCCCGGGCCACTGCTGTCATACGACATTACTCTGAATCTCCAGCGAAAATTAAAGACGGAGATGTGCACTTAAAGTTTTCCTTAGATCAAGAGCTACGAGGACAGTCAAGAAGGGAAAATGATCCAGACCGGACATCCCTACCTAGCCGAGTTCTTTGGACCACCGTACACAAGCCTTTGCGTGCGAATCCTCTCTCCATCAGAATGCTTCACAACTTGTTCTCTCCCTTCGGCTTTGTCGAAAAGATCATAATCTTCGAAACTGTGATTGGACCTCAATCTGTTTTGCAGTTTGCAGCAGAGGAGAGTGCAGTTCAAGCGAGGAACTCTCTCCATGGACGTGACATCTATGATGGCTGCTGCACTCTAGACATAAAATATTCCGACTTTCAAGAATTGAATGTTGGTGTTAATAGCGATCGAATGTGGGACTTCACAGTCAAATTCGTCCATCCTAACAACCAACTTTCTATGAAGCGACGACCTGCGATTCATATGTATAGATCTATGCCAACTAACGATATCGTGTCGTCGACTTTTCCCGGTGACGATGGAGCTGAATCGACTGGATCACACGACGTGCAAAGTGTTTTTGACCCGCATGAGAGGAGCACGCTTCTGGTTTGCAAACTCCACAGGGTGAATATGGATGCAGACAGGCTCTTCAACCTCTTCTCGAACTACGGACATGTCGTGCGGATCAAAGTCATGGATGCGAAACCTGATCAAGCACTGATTCAAATGGAAAATGGTAGTAGTCAAGCACAGATGGCACTAGAATATCTTCATGGTGTGATGCTGTTTGGTAGGTGTATCCAGATCCTATATTCCAAACACATTTATGTCGCGCCTTCACAAGTCCGTGAGTTCAGCAATAGTTCGAACGCGAGTGGAATTCACCGCTTTTTCTCACCCCACTTCAACTACCGTCATTGTTGTGCTCCCACGTCCATGCTTCATGTTGGTCGAATAGCCTCAGATGTCGATTTGGACGACTTCCTAACTCATCTTGCAAATCATGGTACCATCATCAAATCAAGGCTGTTTGAGTTCAACGGTAAGCGTCAGGCTCCCGTTTTATTTGAATCGGTGCAGGAGTGCACAGAGGCTCTCGTTTGCAAACAGCAAGCGTGTTAAAAGGAAAGGCCATTTGTCTATCCCTTTCTAAGCAGGCCAGTTTGTAGAAGATAGAGACTACTGTAATTGTACAAGTCTGCAGCTGAAGGTGAGCATTCTTTGTGAATGACCTATCGAGCAAAATGTCTATTATGGTGTTCGTGTATATTTGAGTGCCATCATCATCATTTCAAAGCGTAGTCTTGAAACTCTCTACTTGTGCTTGACAGTTCGTAGTAATGTTCCATCTTCACACTAAATATTGCACAATCAACAAGTTGTGTGTTATCCTTTTTAATTTAATCACCGTCCGATTTTCATTATGTCCATGATAGATTTGAAAATGAAGAGTTAAAGCTCATGATTAACTCAATCGATGAGCCGACTTACACCGGGACTAATATCTGACCTAGTAGTATAAGATCTGTGTTAGCTACTTGTTTCATGCAGTACAATCTGCAGGCCAAGAAAGGTATCGAAAAGTCTGAGCCTACACCTTGGACTACCCCTTAAAACAAGGAGTGATTAACTTCAAAATCGAAAACCCGATCTTAGAACTAAACTTACATTTGTAATTTGTTCACCTTATAAAAGTTGACTCAAGAACAGAAAGCAATCAACTTGGATCAAGACTTCGACTTATGTGTAACTTCTGGTCCTACGGTTGTGGTGCTTTGTAGTTCTTGTTAGAGTGTTGCGGTGAACTCTGACGTAAATTGTGGACTGGTAGATTACCTATGATACACTATACAAGTAGATTTGCTACTTGTATAGTAGGAAACCCAGTTGTATTTTTTCCTACATCGACGAAATTCTACCTTGTGTTCACTTATCAATCAACATCTTTATTTTCCATAGGTGGAGATGTCATAGGTTTTCACATGACTCGTTTTAGAGTGCAGATGATAGCTACTCATAATGTCATCAGTCATGTAGGGTTTGCTATGGCTTGGGAATCCATATATCCAACATTGCTATCCTTAGAGTAGGGCAGATCTTCTATCTTTTCTTTTAAACGAACTAAGTAAGATTGCATCAGTAGTGGTTACATATTCTACACTTGTGTGATGTTTGCAGTTTCTAGTACATACCAGAAAATATTGGTTTCTTTGGATCATTCTGTAGAGTATGGAAACACATGTATACAGAATGCACTAGTTGGTGTTATACTTAGTCCGTCTTGCTGGAATCTTACCGTTATTTTTGCTATTTGAATGGCACCCGTTCCTGTTAGTGGGGTGTTTCCCACGTTTTTTGCCTTGAGTTGTCACTCCTATCCAGCATTTTAGCTCATGTAATGACTCCTAGTTCCGGAGTTACTCAAGGATTCTGCTTGAAGAACTATTATTTCGACTATAATATGGGAAAATAAAGCTAAACTTTGTGATTGGTTTCATCCATGCTTTCGGTCTCTTGTTGATTTTGCTTCAAAGGTCACTCTCTGACACAAACCGCTGCTCAACCCAAACTTTGTGCCCTCACCATTCATTTTAAGCTTGACCCAAAAGCTTAGTATTTCTCCCTTCTCTTTTTAGGATCCGAATGTAAAATCCAATAACAGGAGTGTAATGGAGAGTAGGAATATATTCTCTATCTCAGCTTGGCCAGATCGATCCGAACTTCAAAGGGAGTCCCTCTCAACTCCAGGCTGTGTCTTCCAATAGTCATTTTGTGCTTGAGAGAATGACTCTCCGCTTTAGTAGTTCCGTCCCTGAAACATTTGCGCGAGGTGGGAAAATAACCAGTAACATCTTGAACCCGAAGGTAACAAAGTTGATCCCATATGCGAGGAAGGCTTATTTTAGTCTCCACCCCGCACATGACACACTCTTACTAAACAGAGCTTGCAATTTCTTGCAATTTCCGTCTAACTTTCAATTTCACTGAGCTTCGCCCACGTCCGCAGAGCAGCATGGAAGGTATCTCTTGATTACACCATTGTTTGACTTGCTCGCTAGCCTTTCGCCTGCAGAGTAAGATGTCGCATTTCGGGATGTTTGCTCCCTGCTTACACACATCTCAAAAGACTTTATTACTGATACTTTGAGCATGTCTTGCAATGTACAACACCCTTTGACACTTCAACGATTTTGTATAATTTGTTGAAGGGTTTAGAGTTTACGGAATTTAGAACATAATCAACTTCATAGTTGCATAAGCAGATTTTTTTGTTACAAATGTTTGGAATTTTCTCTAGATGGTATAAATATGAGATAGTAGTTCAAGAAATGATATCATGAAATATAAAATTGATTGATTGAATTAGTCAACAATACGTACAGTCACAACACTCAAAGTACAACACATTGTCAGATAATCAAAATAATGAAAAGAAATAATTATATAGAGGTAAGACTGTAAGAATGGCTTTTTTTTTCTTGCTAGTCTTCTTAAGAATACAAGCAACAAATTTATGATTTTTTAAAATATTGAATTTTTTTCCCTGAATTCATGCTACACCAGCCCACTAAATTACTGATCTCTATTTACTTGTTAGAAATCCCATGAATTTCTAGTCTAGCAAACCTTTCACCCATTGATGAAGGATGTTTATGATACCTAGGGTCAAACGCACCATAGTCGAAATACGATGAGAGTTCTGGGTAAAAGCATACGTCTTACCCAAGAATCCAGTCCGGCAGCGCTCACGTTACTAGACAGGGGGCGTCGTCTGCGTCCGAGCGGGGTTATTACTGAGGGTAATAATCTGAAGCTCTCGGTACGAGGATTTATAATCAGCGCGGGGTTGTTACCGAGGGTGATAAACTGAAGCTCTCGGTACGAGGATTTATAATCAGAGAACATACGATAAAATTTTTGACATAACTTTTTTGTACAAATTTTATTATTTAAATGGGAAGAAAGAATTTCATTCAATTTCATAAAATTATCAAGTATTGAAAAATGTGATATTTGTAAAAATTAATAATCATTTCCTTTTCATATTACTATGTTACAATTTAATATCATGTCATTAAAGATTAAAAAATTTATATATTCTATGATAAAAAAATTCATATATAATTCCATGATATATATATAATCATTTTTAGTTTTTAATATATTATATGATATTTATTTTAATCTATCCTAGTCAAAATCAAATTTACCAATTAAGTATAAGTGAGGAAAAAAATTTAATTTGTTAATATAATTTTTCAGAAGAATACAAACTTACATACATTTAGGATACACTACCACTACACAAACAAACGTCTTAGAATGGAATATGTGGTTTATCACTACAAGCTACATTCATGGAAATATAACTATTTTAGCTCAAAATTATAATTTTGATAAGTTATTTCATATAATGACAGTTTAGTTAGATTTAATAATTGAAGTTAAGCTGATTTGAGTTAACAAAAACTTATATTATCTTTCCATAAACTCTCATTGATTCATGTATTGAGATATGTAAATTCTATAATCAATATGATGACTTTACAAGAATTTCTAAAAGAAAATTCCAACATATCGCCTTTATAAATTAGTGATGACTAGATTCAAGTCGTTATCAAAATAGAATGTATATATATGTAGCAAAATTTCTGAAATTGCAAAAATTGTTGTGTTCCTTATAATAAATGTCAAAATAGCATTATTCTCCTAAATATGATTCAAGATGATTGAAATATTTATTATTATTATTATATTATTATATTTATTATTGAAGTAGCTTAGATTTTCTATCAGAAACTACAATAAAGTGATACATGTATTACTATATGTATAAATTATTATCTATACTTTTGATTTGCTGCAAGATATAATCCAATTTCACTATCACAGCGAAGTTTCAAAACCTTTCGTTTTAATATTATCTTAGTGATAAGTCTATTTATTGAAATAGACTCTTTCGTTGCTTCTAGTGCCGCTATATATCTCACTTTTATTGTTGAATGAGCTCTTACCTAAATCTTGCATAAGTTCTTTTGTCCCTATGTTGAGGTGACGACATGTCATTAAAATTTTGAACTTTTAGAGTATTCAGTTACCATTCAATCAGATTTTAGATTTAGTTTAATAAAAAAAATCTACTTTGTCAGATGAATCAAAACTAATATATATTGAAATTTTTTTGCATTAGAAACTTGACTTTGATAAGAGACAAAATAATAAAATTCATTTATAGCTTTTAGAAATATTTTAATATACTATACATAATAAATCAAGTTAAATATTACATTTAAAAAGGGTTTTTTCTTGAATTTGTAAGTGATATAAAGGATTATAGATTATCAAATTTGGGTAAAACACAAAAATTCTATTTCGGGTTGTTTTGGATTTGGATCAAATGTTATACCTCACGCAAAACTCTGTATTAGATAAAAATAAAAGCACCAGAATGTGACACACGTTGACGCATTAACCTTGACAAATTTTGATCTCTTTGTGTGTCTCATGAAATTAGGTTAGATTACTTCGCAAGTTCCGCATCAATCTAGTACTTCTCTAATATGAATCCTCTACTTATTCATCCATCTTGTTTGATTGCTATTTCCAAAGCTTTTGCGGCCTCTTTGATTAACTCTTTCGGTGAATTTTTGATTCCATAGGAGAAGATCAAGAAATTTATAGACAATTCTAGTTAATGAGGATGGACCAGTGACAGTTTCATCTGTGCAAAATCTTTAGTGGAGCTGTATGTAGACAGAAGGTTATCAGACTCTTCCGTCGTTTCATCTAAGTTTTTGAATTCGATAAAGTAGCAATGACAATCAACTTCCATTTTCAGAACAAACAACTTAATTTCTGGGCTAGTGATCCAGGGTAGTATGTCCTTGTCAATTAGTTTGAGTATGCTTTCACATATATTGTTAATTTTTTATTTTAATTACGCTCGTTAATAATTTTTTATTGATAAATGATGCTCATTATTTACTTTTTTCTCTTCTTGCTCCTATTCCAACAAAGTCATTGTACACCAAGGCTCAAAGCGTCTTTGAAAGCAATGTTCAACAAGTTGAGTTTCTTCGGATAAAGCTTCCCCAAAGATTGAACTGTTCTGTAAATTTTGTCCATGGTTTTTCTCATCTTGTCGTATTGTTTGATTTACAAGATACATAAGAACGTTAGAGTGTGCCACATTGATTGATGTCAAAGATAAAGACTTTAACAAAGCGGCCGTTCTTGTTGTTAGCATTCCAGTCACGACTCAACAAGAGAGTGAAACGAATCGCTCGTAACCTAACTCTCAGTTTTCAGGTTGTT